AGAAGGCTCTGCACTGTCAGCACAGAGCTCCCTGTGGGGCTCGAACTCACGAACCGCGAGATCATGACCTGAGCTGAAGTCAGATGCTCAACCGACTGAGCCACCCGGGCGCCCAACTCTTGTATGGATTTGCCTTCTAAGTCGTGACGGTCTGTGGTGTTTGGTGGTGCTGCTGGATTGGAGTATGACCCCCCGCCTTTCCCAACGCACCTCGAGACCTTCACATAAGCGCTTCACAGCGATTTCTTTCCAAAGGTGGGTTTCCTAATTCACCTATTACTTTGCAAAAGCCGCCCTCTATTCACTTTTTGCACTTTTCCACAAGCCTCCGGGCGTTTCTGAGTAAGGGCTCCTGGGGCCACGTCCCCACCACTCTGTGGCCAGGAGAGCAGCTGAAGTGACGACTGACTGTTCCGAGTGCTCAGGAGGCCACGGAGGGACCACCACGATGGGGACAGGACGTGCCACGGCCACGCTGGACACAGGACAGCAGTTCCTTAAGGAGCCACACGTGCCCCCGCCGTGCGATGCAGCCACCCCGTCCCTAGGCATTCACGGCAGTTACTCTTCACTGAGAGGAAAGCAAGCGACGTCCCTGGTGACGGTCCCAGCAGCGTCACTGCTGACAGCCAGAAGCTGGAAACCGCTCATGTGTCCGGCAGGTGAAGGCGTGGAGACAGTGGTGCCTCCACGTGGAGGGGCGCTCTCCCCAGTGAAAGGACACGAGCCCCGGACACCCCGACAGCATGGATGCATCTGAAAACCGCTGTGCTCACTGCCGCGTTCTCAGGTTTGACGACGGCACTGTGATGGGAGAAAGTCCCCTCTCTTACACACACACACGGGTGGGTCCTTGTGCCTGTAACTCAGGGGCTCATGGAAAACACATGTAAACTTAGAAAGAAAGGGATCCAGGGGACGCAGCAGCACTGCTGGGACCCAGTAGGTGGGAGACGCGTGGGTGTGCGCGTTCTCACTGTCAAACGTCAGCAACGTCTGCAGCTGTTAGTGTAGCTAAGCGTAAAGGTTGGTGCTTGTAACAGACGCCACAGGAGACTCCGGACTCCTCTCTGGGTGCAAGAGGGAGTAAGGGGCGTGTGGCTCCCGCGGCCCCTTAAAGCAGCCCTCCTTCACTGGGCTGCCCCTCACACCAGAGCCCCTCGACCTCCCCCAGCAATGGCCGCTTCTTCTCTCCCTTGCCCATCTCCACCCGCCCTTCCGTTCCCTCTTGAACCCACGGCAACCAGGCTCCCAGATCTCCTCTGACCAAGGTCCCCGGGTGCCCAATCCAGGTCCTCACCTCCCCCCCACTGCCAGCAGCAGCTCGCAGGGTGGCTCCCTCCTCCAACGCGTCCCTCGCTGGGCCGGCTCCGATTCCAGACTCCAGATGGCCTTGCGCCCTGGCAGGTCCTCGGGTCCTCCCTCCCTGAGCAACTCAACACCGAACGCCAGCTCAGTGCCCAAGACTCTCCTCGCTCCACCGAGTTCCCGGTGGGCATCTGAAACTACACCCGCTCAAAGCTGAATGCAGCCTGTCTCCCCCCGACTTGTTCCTCGAAGCCCTTCCTAGCTCAGTAAACCCACAGCAACTCCATCCTTCCAGGGGCCAGGCCCAGTGAGCCTTCCCTCCTGCCTTTCCCTGTAAGGCTCTGCCATCAAGAACAGCCAGAATCCGACCCCACCCACACACCGCCCAGCCACCAGCTGAGTCAAGGCTGCTGCTGACATATTCTCCTAGCAGACTCCCGCGTCCACGGACCCCACTGTGGCCCATTCTCCAAGCAGTGGCCACAGTAATACACTTCGTACCCTCACCAGAACGGTGCTCGGCCGCCGGTAGGTACCCAACCAATACTGCTTAAATCAGCTGTTCTCAAAGTGTGGTCTGGGGAACACAGGCTGGGGAGGGGGGGACCAGGCACTTTCAGGGGTCCACAAGGTCAAAACCGGTTTCAACTTAATACTAAGACATTATTTGTCTTTTTATTCTCATTTTCTCCAAAGCATATAGCGGAGCTTTCCAGAAGCCACATGATGTGAATATTGCAACAGACTCGATATAGAAGCAGGTACGGGAAAGCAACTTTCTCGTTTAGACAGACACTAAAGAGGCTTTCACGGGTACGACAATGACACTCTTCTCACTAAATCTGTGCTCTTGGGAGAAGGCAGTTTCTTTTTCACGCAAAAAAGTTAACACGTAATGGATTCATCACTGTTTTGTTAGTGAACTCCTAAATATTTATTTCAGGTTCCCCAGTGTTGCTGTCTAGTGTGGCAAACATCTGTGCTTGTAGCGCACATAAACAAGAGTTCCCTGGAGTCCTGAATGCGCTCGAAATGCGTAAAGGGGCTGTGAGCCCAAAATGTTGCGAGCTGCTGGGATGGACCATGTCCCTGCTCCGCTCCGAGTCCTGCAGACACTGTGCATGACCTCAGAGGCAAGCCGGGTGCTCACAGTGGCCTCTACGGCCCTACGTGGCACTGTCCCCTGCAGCTCTTGAACCCCCGTGCCCACCCCACGAAAAGAGAAGTCCTCACAACCTCCCACAATCCCCTGCCCAAGACCAACGGTGGTACCAGCGTCAGGTGCGTGTCCTCTGGGCTCAGGCTGCTGGCTGTCCGCTCTGCCACCCTCCCTTCCTACGACCGCGACATCTCCAGCTGGCACGTGGCTGCATTACGGCCACATTTAGGTGAAGAAAATCTCAGATGAATGAAGAATGAAGACCTCATTTCCCAACTCCCACTGCAATTGGAATGCTAATGCACGGCCATGGGACCAACCTCTGGCAAGCGATTAGAAGCCAGAGCGATACATGCAACTTCCAGAAGTGTCGTTGAAGGACTCGGGCATCGCTTTCCCCTCCTCTTTCTTTCCTTCCTATGGGCTGGGCTGCACACAAGATGGCCTGAGCAGGAGCAGCCGTCTTGACCACTGGGGGAATGAACAGGACACAAGTGGAGAGAATGGAAGGAACCGGGGTCGCTGGCCTTGGCCGTGTGACCACGTGGGCCCCGGACGGTCAGAGAAATGACCTTCCGCCTATATAAGCTGCTGTTCCTTGGGGGTTTCTGTCTCTCACAGCAAAATGATACATTTTCTACCCTGGCTCACACACAATTTTTCCTTAGGGGGTGGGTATGGGAAACAAAGAAACCTTCTTGTTTTATAACACACCCTTCCCACTTGAACAATAGGCTGCTACTGTGCTTCTAGGTCATCGATATAGTCCACACCATGGCTTTGACAGGGTCCAGAACTCCACTCGAGGGTTTCAGCATACTTTATGGGACAAGTCCTTGACTGATGGACGCTGAGGTTATCTCCAGCTTTGTACCATTATAAGCAAGGCTTTGACAAACATCTTGGGTATCTCAACTCTCCCTACGTGTCCTTAACATTTTCCCTAAAATAAATTCTCCCAAAGGAATTATTATCATTATTAAATCATAATTGTGAAACTAATCAAACCATTCTATCATAACGGTGATTTTCTTTTCTTTCCTTTCCTTCCCCCCTCCCCCCCCATTTCTACCTGAGTATCAACAAGTGAATTGCAATGTAGACTTTAGTTATGGTTCTTAACAAAGAAACAAAGGCCATCAAAGGCAACCTGAAAGCCAGTGACAGGCTTCATCAGGTCAAGAAGGGGAATTTCTCCTTCAAGGTTGTTCTGTTTTCTTTTTTTAATGTTTATTTTTATTTTTGAGAAAGAGAGAGCGAGAGCGTGAGCAGGGGAGGGGCAGAGAGAGAGGGAAGTAGGCTCCAGGCTCCGAGCTGTCTGCAGAGCCCCACACACGGCTTGAAGTGGTGAACTGTGAGATCATGACCTGAGCCAAAGTCGGACTCTTGAACGACTGAGCTGCCCAGGAGCCCCCTTCAAGGTTACTCTTAAACTTCTTTATAATAAATGTTTTTTATTAGCATTTTATTGTCCTCCATATTCTCAAGTTTAATTCACCAGAAAATACAATTTTACTAGAGGAAAGATAAGATACAAGGCAACGTCCAAAAGATTAACTAGAATACACGTACCAAAGAAGTTAATGAATGACTAGCACCTGATTTTGAAAAAGCTTTTAGTTACCAAGCTGTGAAGCTTTTAGTAAACGAACACATGTGAAAACCCACAAAAGCCTGTAAAGTTGTATACAAATATTACTAAATCCTAGAGCTTGGCAACACTCTGTTGAAAGCTTTTAGTTCATCACAATCCATATTAAGATTATCTTAATTATCTGATAAGCATTAAATTAAAAAGGTACAACTTTAGATCACTATGTGAAAAACATAACACTCCCGACTTGAAGCAAATTATTTTCCAAACCACCAATTTAATGATCTACATTAAAACAAGAATAAATAAGAATATTTTTATTATAACAGACATTAAGAATTTTAAAGTAAATTTCATTTAAAAAAAGGCCAGGATTGGGGCGCCTGGGTGGCGCAGTCGGTTAAGCGTCCGACTTCAGCCAGGTCACGATCTCGCGGTCCGTGAGTTCGAGCCCCGCGTCGGGCTCTGGGCTGATGGCTCAGAACCTGGAGACTGTTTCCGATTCTGTGTCTCCCTCTCTCTCTCTCTGCCCCTCCCCCGTTCATGCTCTGTCTCTCTCTGTCCCAAAAATAAATAAACGTTGAAAAAAAAAAAATTTAAAAAAAAAAAAAAAGGCCAGGATTATATGCAATCGTGATGATTTAAAGGTTTTGCAAATTTTGTAAGACTCAACTGAGACAGACAGATATGTGAAAGGGTTTCAATAGGTACTGTTATTACAAATAGCTCTTAATAAAACATCGTTTTCATCTGAGTAAGGGGGACGGTGTGTGTGTTCCAAATGAAAGATCATCAACCAGCTCAGTGTACAAGTTTGGACTTCTCTGGAAAAACAAACAAATAAAATCTACCAAAAATTACACCTGAGACTTGCAGTTAACAGAAAATCTCTCCACACCAAGTGACCACAAGTGGTGCACAATTTCTCTAAGAGTGCCCCGCCCTCCATATCTCGGATCTGTGAGCACCGTCTAGGATTACCTGTGGGGTAAGGACTGCTGGGATTCCCCCAGGCTTCTCTCATGGCCTCGGTCACGACCTGGATAACCTCTGGCTCAAGCGGGGTGGTTGCGTTATAGTCCATGTAAACTTTCCTGCCGGAAAGAGAACAAAGATGTGTCTGTTAAGGAAAAGGAGACGGAACCCGGAGCACGGCTGCCCTGTGTCCGTCGCCTCCGCAGGAGCAAACAGCAAGGGCAGGGAGCTTCTCTGCATGACCACCACACAGGCTCCACCGGCTGCACTTGGCAATCCCCCAATCTTCATGAATTACGGAGAAGGTATGCCCGGTTTTCCAACAATCTAGTATTTGCTAGCGTCCTCTACAATCACTAGAAGAGCGTCCATTTAGATCTGCAAAACCTCTTTCCAGCCCCTGGTAGGAGGATCAAGGGTCCTGGTTACAAGGACAGGTCTGTCTCCCGTCCTCCACGCAGAAGGAGGGGAACCAGGCACACCCAGTAGCCACACATTCCAGAAGTTTTTCTTTTTTCTCTGTAATTTCTGGTTCGGCCAGAGGCGCGGGTGATCTGGGTGCCCACTCCTCTCCACACCCTCCCCTTTGCTCCCTGACAGGAGCGGACCTGCTTCTCCTCCCTCCCCCCTTCACTTTCCTGTGCCTCCAGTGACCACACCCCCGCCACCCCACTTTCTTTTTGGGTCTTGGCTCCATCTTGACCTTCTCGTGAAGCCCCCTACAGCAGCCAGTCCCCTTCCTCCCAGCACCCGGAGACCCCCCGCTCCTTCCTCTGTCCCCATGGCACTCGGCAGCCTCTGACACACTGCACTGGTTCCTTGTCGACTGTCTGCCTCGAGAGGCAGTAATAGAAGGTCAGGTGCAGAGGCCCATGGGTTTTGCCAGTTCTCCTCACTGCTCTGTCACCAACACTGAGAACAATGGCCAGCACACAGCAGGGGCCAGACTTGCAACAAAGTGTCACAGAAAAGCACATCCCCTGAAAGATCCCTCCTAAATAAAATTTATCTGTATTTCTTTTTACCAGTATCAAAACCCTTCAGATACTTTCTTAATAGATACAATAGGTAATCCTGCCTAATACTATTATTTTACCTGATTTTAAAACCAGTAACAGTTTTTTAAATGTTTTATTCATTTTAGAGAGAGTGCACGCACTAATGGAGGAGGGGCAGAGAGAGGGGGGGACAGAGGATCCCAAGTGGGCTCTGTGCTGTCAGCAGTGAGCCCAATGTGGGGCTCCAACTCGGGAACCGAGACATCAAGACCCGAGCCAAAGTGGGCCGACTGACTGAACTACCCAGGTGCCCCTAAAATCAATGACAATGTTTAATTAAACCAATCCACATGAAAATTCAAATACAATTACCAACTGTGGCTGTTAAAAGTCTGTTGTTGTTTTTTTAACCACAGTGTTTTAATGCAACATCTTGCTGTCCAAAGTCACCTGACTGGTTTGAGGCTTTGGCAAGTTTGACCCTTGGCCACTCCCACTTGGCAATGTGCTGATTCTGCTGTGACTGAAATCTGCAAGGGCCGCTAATTTTGCTGACACTTCCTACTAAGTATCCTAAGTTTCCTCAAGCTACTAGTGTCTGCTCAGCGACTGCAGCTTTTCAGTCTGCTGCTGGGGTGAGCTAATCCATGGCCTGAGTTTCAGATGAACATTTTATAGATAACTCTGCTCTATTATTGTCTTCTTCCTTAAGATGCTATCGTTATCGGATGCGAAAGCTAAACTCTGTTATGTCCATAACCAAAATGTAATAAAAAGGTACTGCGAGCCTCCTCTCCACTCGAGTCTCCCTTGCAGGGCTTTCCCCTAGCCCCTCTGCTCAGTCTCCACCAAAGCAGACTGCCTAATGAAAAAGAGGGTCAGATTTCGGCCTGGACCGGAGTTTTAAAGACACAAACACTCCTCATATTCGGGTGCAGGGGCACAGTGGACCGGAAGGCCAACTGCTCAGGCCAGGGGCCCGGGAGGCACGCTCCACAGACCCTCCTTCCTCTGCGCGGGTGCACCAGCCAGTCCTGCGGCTCCGTCTCAGAAGCCCCCCTTCGCCACCACTGCCACCACTCCGGTCCACACCACCTCCCTCTCCCAGATTTTTACAAGACTCCCAACGTTGCCCTGCTTCCTCCCCTGTCCCACCACCCCCTCCCCCCGCGCCTGGAATACACGTCCCGAAGTCCTTCCTGAGCTCCGTGGCTCCGCTCGCTGACCGTCGCCCTGCCAAGCCCTCCGCTCCAGCCGCGCGCTCGGCTCAGCCCCGGGGCCGGTGCAGCGGCTGCTCCCCCGCCCCGCGCGCTCTCCCCGGACTCGGGCGCTGACTCCCGGACGTCACTTGGCGCGGGAGCCCCGGCGCGGCGGTGCTTCCCACCTCGCACCCCGCGACGCAAGCCGCCCCCCCGACAGCGCGCCCGGCCGCAGGCCCGCGGGGACCGCCAGCTGGCGCCCCCCTCCGGGCGGGTCCCTCCCCCGGAGAGACCAGTGCCCGCCTCCGACCTCCCCCGGGGGGGGTACCCCTCCCTGGAAAGACCCCTGCCCACCGCTCCCCACCGCCCGCCTCCGGCCTCCCCGGGCGGGACCTCCCAACCCCGAGGGCTTCCCGGAGGAGGGCGCCGGCCGCTTCCCCCTCACGGCGCGCACCTCTCTGGTGGGGTCTTCTCTCCACCGTCGCCGGGCTGACTCGCCGCGCGCCCGCGCGCATCCCCGGTGAGCGCCACGGCCGCCTCCATCGGGCCCCAGCACTACCCCAAACGGCCGACCGCGCGGGTCGCGCCCGGGAGCGTCTCCTGGAGGCCCGGCGGAGGGGGCGGGGCCGCGAGGCCCGGGCGGCGTCCGGATTGGCTGAGCTTTGCACTCCGGCCAATGACTGGGGCCAGCACAGGTGAGATGCCGATTGGCTGAGGGAGGTCAGGTGACGGGTGTGCGTCACAGGGGGCGTGGTGACGGAGGCTAGGAGGCGGGAGTGAGCGCCTCTCAGGATTCCGCGCTGGTCCATACCCGCGGCAGCCGGGGCCGGGGCTGGCGCCGGGGCCGGCCTGTCAAGGGGGCACTGTTGTCCCCATTTTATATATGGGGAAATTGAGGTACGGTATGGAAAAGCTCAGCACCTTGCCCAAGTTCACACGGGCAGTGAAGGACCCAGAATTTGAATTCGGGAATGCTTTGCCAAGAAGGTGAATTCTAACTGGCTTTTCGTAGACTTTCTCGGTTTGACCTCCTGTTGGGGTCCAGGCGTTGTCTCTTCCAGCTCTGCAAGCCTCTATATTTCTGGGTTCCTTATTTCTTTTCATTCTTGCTGGCAAAGTGAGCTCATTTCTTGCAACGTGCAGCCATAGCAAAGGACACAGCAAAATTTAAGAAGCAAGCAGACACCCAGGAGTTCAAGAACTATCAGCAGAGGGGGAAAGAAAGGGAATTGGGAGAGCATGGTCAAGAGCAGATGAGAGTGTACAGTGCAGCGGAGAGGGCGTCCGCAAAGTGTCTACTGTATACAGTTAGGAGCACTGATGCATTTACTAAGGGAAGTTTGAGTACAGCAGTGCGGAGAGGGCAGAAAAGTGCGCAGTGAGTTGACGGATGAATGGGACATGAAAGAACTGAGAACGTGGCCAACAGTTTCCTGAAGTTTGAAAGGAGAAGGAGCCACAAAAAGGGGTTACAAGATTAAGGGAAATATTTTAGAGACTGAACATGTTTATAAACTGCAGGGAGGTAGCTAACAAGAAAACTGAAGATGAGAGACAAGAGGCAGAGGCCTGGAGGAGATGGGAGGGCATGGGCTTAAGAGAGAGCAAGGGTGGGGCACCTGGGTGGCTCAGTCGGTTGAGCTCAGGTCATGATCTCACGGTCTGGTCCGTGAGTTCGAGCCCCGCTTGGGCTCTGTGCTGACAGCTCGGAGCCTGGAGCCTGCTTCGGACTCTGTGTCTGCCTTTCTTTGCCCCTCCCCCCACTCGTGCTCTGTCTCTCTGTCTCTCTCTCTCTCTCTCAAAAATAAACATTAAAAAAAAATTAAAAACACAAGAGATGAGCTGAATAGAATAGACACAATCAGCAAATTAGTAAGCTGAATGCCTGAGCATAGGAATTCTCTGATTATTGCCTAGAAGCCTAAAGGGTTAAAAATTTTGAAACAAAAGAAAAAATCCATCCAATACGGTGATTTTCAACTGAGACTGACTCTTCTCTCCAAGGGGTGTTTGACAATGCCCGGAGATAATTTTGGTTTGTCATAATTGGGGGTAGGTCCTTCTGGGACCTAGTGAGTAGAAGCCTCTAATTTCCTACAACACGCAGGACCGCCCCCACAGCAACAAATAATCCATCCCAAAATGACAACAGTGCTGAGGCTGAGAAACCCCGGTGTGGTTCCTCATTTCCATTTCATACCATATTCCTTCTGTCTGAGGCCTTTGTTCAAAATTTTTTCTAAGGCTAGTCTGCTGATAGGACTTCTGTTTTTACATGCATGAGAAAAGTCCTTTTTTAAAGTTATTATTTATTTATTTTGGGAGAGAGAGAGAGGGAGCGAGAGAGGATTCCAAGCAGGCTCGGTGCTCAGTGCAGAGCCTGACATGGGGCTCGATTCCAAGAACCAAGAGATCAGGACGTGTGCTGAAATCAAGAGTCAGACGCTTACGCCACTGAGCCACCCGGGTGCCCCTGAGAAAAGTCTTTCTTTTGCCTCCATCTTTGATATTTTCTCTAGGTAAAGAATTTTAGCTGGAATTTTTTTCTTTTAGTACAGATGTTTCTCCACTGTTTTCTCACTTGCGTTGTTTCCAATGAGAAATCTGCTGTCACTTTGTTCCTCTACATACTATGTGTCTTTATTTCTTGCCTGCTTTGAATATTTTTGCTCTATTATTGACTTTTAAACATTTTTAAGGTTTATTTGTTTTGAGAGAGAGAGTGGAGGAGGGGCAGAGAGAGAGGAGAGAGAGAAGCCCAGGAAGGCTCCGTGCCATCAGCATGGAAGGGCTGGAACTCACAAACCGTGAGATCATGACCTGAGCCGAAATGAAGAGTCGGATGTTTAACCGACCGAGCCACCCAGTGGCTCTTATTTCTTTAAATAAGTTTCTCCTCCCTACTCCTCTGAAGACCCCCCATTACAAGTATATTGGGTGTGTGAAGTTGTCCCACAGCTCAGTGAAGTTCTTTTTTTTTTTTTTTGCGCTAGTTCTGGTCCCACCTTTGTTTCATTCCGTATTGTTTTTACTGTCATATCTTCTTCAAGTTCATGAATATTTTCTTCTGCAGTACATCACCTGTTGTTAAGCCCATCTAGTATATTTTCTTCACCACAGGTATGTATTTTTCTTCTGGAAGTTGAATTTGTGTCTTTTGTATATTTTCCATATCTCGACATGAACGGTCTTCCCTCTACCTTCTTGAACTGTTTTAATTCTCTAGTCTACTAATTCTGTCATATTTCTCATTCTTGAGTCTGCTCCTTTTGACTGATTTTCCCCCTTGCCATGTGTCTTATTTTCTTCTTTGCATACCTGTGATTTTGTATGGGGTTGTAATTTTGTATTACAGTGGTAGGCACTGTAAATTTTACGTTGTTGGGTCCTGGAAATACAGTTTTATCTGACAATGTTGAGATCGTTGTAGATCTACATGCAGTTGTAATAAATGATAGGAGGTGCTTTTTCCAGGTTTTCACAAGTTGGTACATCTTCCAAAACTACAGTAATCCATTCTGCCAGCCTTTGGCTTCCAGTGGATTAGCTCATTTACATATATTTAATGTTGACTCTTAAAGGTACCATCTTACTGTTTTCTGTTTGTTTCATCTGGTTTTCAACACCGTTTCTCTTTACTTGCCTTCCTGTGGGTTATTCAAACATTTTTTTTAGTGTTCCTTCTTGATTTGTCAATAGCGTTTTAAAATAGTTTTAATTCACATACATTAAATTCACCCCTTTAAAGTGTGCAATTTGGGGCACCTGGGTGGCTCAGTCAGTTAAGCATCTGACTTTGGCTCAGGTCATGATCTCACGGTCCGTGAGTTTGAGCCTCACGTCGGGCTCTGTGCTGACAGTTCAGAGCCTGGAGCCTGCTTCGGGTTCTGTGTCTCCCTCTCTCTCTGCCTCTCCCCCACTAGCACTCTGTCTCTCTCTCTCTCGAAAATAAACATTAAAGAACATTTTAAGTGTACAATTTAGTATATTTACAAGGTTGTGCAGCCATCATCACTAATTCCAGAGCATTTTCGTCACCCCCCAAAAGGAATACTGTACTCATTTAGCATTCAGTCTCCATTCCTTCCTCCCCACAGCCCCTAGCAACAACCATGCTACTTTCTGTATCTATAGATTTGCCTTTTCTGGACATTTCATTTATGTGGAACCATAGCTTCTTTCAGATGTGTTCATGTCTTTGAGGTCCATCCAGGTTGTAGCACGTTTCCATAATTCCTTTCTATTGATGATTACTATTCCTTTGCCTGGCTATACCACATCCTGTTTTCCAGTTCATCGGTTGACAGACATTTGGGTTTCCAGCTTTTTTTTTTTTATTTTTATTTTTGGGACAGAGAGAGATGCAGATAGGAACGGGAGGGCAGAGAGAGAGGGAGACACAGAATCGAAACAGGCTCCAGGCTCTGAGCCATCAGCCCAGAGCTCCACAAGGCCTCCGGAACTCACGATCATGAGATCGTGACCTGGCTGAAGTCGGACGCTTAACCGACTGCGCCACCCAGGCGCCCCTGGGTTTCCAGCTTTAAACTATTAAGAATAATGCTTCTCTGAACATTTATGTACACATTTTTACATGGAGATATATTTTCAGTTCTCTGGGTTATATACCCAGGAGTGGAATTGCTGGGTAATATGGTAGCTTCATATTGTTATGTTCACTTTGTATTAACTTTTGATGAAATGTTCCGATAGGTGTTCCAAACTGGCTGCACGGGCATTGCACCAGCAATGTAGAGGACTCCAATTTCCCAGCATCCCTAGCAACCCTCGTCACTGTCTTCTATTTTAGCCATCCTAGTGGGTGTGAAGTGGTCTTGATTTGCATTTCCCTAATGACTAATTGTGATATTGTGGAATATAATAAGAAATGTATGTCTGGTCTTTGTCCCTGTTTCCTGGCACAGAGCTCGTAAAACCCTTGGAATTTCTCGGTGAGACAGAAATACAGGCGAAAGGAACATCTTTTGTTATTTGTAGCAAGCCCTTTTCTGCCACACTCAAGCTTGGTGTCGGGGTGGGGGGGGACCAATCACTTGATTAGATAGAGGGTTGGAACTTTGAGCCCCCCTCCCACCCCCAGTCTCTGAGGAGGAGACGGGGGCTGGAGACCTAAGCATCAACGGTCAGTGATTTAATCAATCATCTCTGCATAATGAAGCCACTGTAAAAACCCTGGCTGGAGGAGTTTAGAGAGCGTCCTGGCGGGTGGACATGTGGGGTGCTGGGAGAGTGCACACATGGAGAGGACACTCCTGGATCTGTGCGCACACAGATCTTCCGTGCCCTTCCCCCTGACCTTGACTTAGGCAGCTCTTCTGTGTGACTGTTTTGAGTCGTCTCATTTTATAATGAGCCTGTAATCTAGTAAAGTTGTTGTCCTGAGGTCTGTGACGTGTTCTAGCAAATTACTGAACCCATGGAGGGGGTCACCGGAAGCCTTGGTATGCAGCCAGTCAGAAGTGCCAGAGGCCAGGACTTGGGACTGGCATCTGAAGGGTGGGGGGCAGTCTTGTAGGATGGGGAGCTCTTAACCTGTGGGATCTGATGCTTCCGGCAAGTACAGGTGTCGGAACTAAACTGA